AACAACCTGAGCTTGACCTTCATCCTATTCATCATCATGTTCCCTTCGGTGCTGTTTTTTCTTTCTACGCTTCACTGCCGCCACCTGATAACACTCATCTGAACTCTCCTCCTCTGAAGATTCCTTGGGAGGGGCGGAAGGTTCAGCAGGCTTCGACGCCACCTCCCTGATCACATTCTGCAACATTCCAACCAATTCTGACACAGACATCCTGTCGTCCTTTTCAGGACAATGTCTGAACTGACAATGGACCTTCAGTCCCATTTGGCTGCATTTCTCCATCAATGCATTAGTGGGCAATCCATCAATCTCCTCAAACGGCACTCCCGCTTGTCGCAGTGCCCTCCACAGATCTGTTCTAGAGGGGCCCATTGCCCCCCCTTTACGACCCCTTGAATGTGGATCAATCCTGGGTTTATTTTCAGTTCTAGCTCCCTCTCTCCTCGTCTCAGACCAATCACCCAGCGTGGTGAGTTCGCCAAGACGATCTTTTATCGCGGCAAAAGTCTGGTCTGCCGCGCCAAACAACAAGCTGGTCACCATGGGTTTATAATGTGGTGGGGCATGTCTGATGAGGTGATCTCTAGTTGCCTTAGAGATGTTACAGTCCACCACTCCAGCTCCCCCGTTTCGAGCCACTTGCTCTCTAATAGTGAGTCTGGTGAGCCGCTGAATGGCATCTCTCACTGTCTGCCATTGCCCTTTAATCTCAGACCAGTCCGCCGTGGTAGGATAGATTACATGACATGCCAGAGCATATGCATCCCCCACATTGAAATCTTCATCAGCTGGCAATGCCCGGACTGTAGCCCTGTATTCAGCATTTATCTGTGCATCAGTACTTAATCCTGAAAATCTCATGGCATCACCGGCATCTATGGCTATATCACACGCGCCATCCTCCATAAGGCGATTAAGCCAGGAGTCAGTTGGTTCGCCTGGGCGCTGTTTCAGCTTCCCATTCATGTGATTTAACTCATCTTGTGAATAATCCTCTAGCGTTGTTAGCAGCCTAGGGGCGGGTTGTGGCTGCTGTTGTAACATCCTTCTTATATTACCCGCCTCATCGAGTTCCGGCCGTCCCTGATCATCCACCATATCTACCAGTATTGGTGGAATAATTTGCTGTTCTCGCCGACGCCTAGTAATAGGTCTTTGTTCTGACATCTTTATCCTCTGTAATGATGGATACAAGGGCTGAGGTGGTGGGTCAGGTTTAATCACCCACTCCTCCTCCTCATCATCCCCCCAAAGATCCCCGTTCCATTTCTGCGGGTCCCAATCTTCACCAACATTCTTTACAAACGCCCGGATCTGAGCAGGACCTGTTCTACGAGGTCGCTTCTTTTCCTTCCTTTGCGCTCGAGACACAAAAGTCAGCGTTTTATCCAAAACATTCTGAGCATGCTTTAGCTCTTTCCCCATCACACACACTCTCTGCTCAAACTCTGAGCATGATTTCTCAACTTCTTCAGCATGGATTTTCTCCTGCGCCGCTCGCTCTCTACAACTGCTCAATTCTAACTCCTGTTTTTTCCATGCTTCTGCAAAAAGCCACATCATATCTCTCACTCCTGCCAGCGGCGCTTTTTTTTTAACTTCTATCCGCGTCAAACGGTCCAGCACCACGGCGGGGCTGACCACTCCATTTAACTCTCCCCACGGCCCAGGGCGTCCACCGCGCTGCCTTAACATATCACCAATGGATCGGAACTCCTCCGTTTCCCAGCCGGGAATCGGCACGGGAATCGGCGTTCCCTCCCCAGAAGCACTCGGCTCCTTTTTGCTTCTCCAAAAACACTTCATTGTTGCTGGAATAGCTTGACTGATCCTGTTCGTGACGCCAAAAATGTTCTAAAATAAAATGTTTTATTTTATTTTAATTACCTTAAAAGACTCAAAGTCTCTTTTTACACTTTATATTTATTTAATCAGGATCGTTGTCAAGTCGACGCCAGAAACAATGAAACACAACTTGAATATCAGATGAACAACAAGGCTTTATTCAACCGGCATTCATACAAGTTATCAATCATGAACGAAACATTTCTCTTACCGTTGCTTATGGGTGGAGAGCTGAACACCCCAGTTAGAAAACGTAATCCATGAACCTCGTCAAATAGAATCCTTCAAACAGCTCTAACAGCTCTGAGCTCTGCTCTGCTCCTTATACATTCCCTGATGTGCGTGCAAAGCTGCACACCTCCACCAGGATTACCTTGATTACATCCTCATGATCACATTATGTTCGGCTCTCCTTGATTACATCCTCATGATAAGTGTGATTGACAAACAGTAGTGATCAATAACTTGTATAAAGCAATTATACAACAGATGACAAGTTCATTTTTATTACACTAGTGTCAGTGACTTTACAGCAATCCTCATACTAAGCAAGCATTTATCAGTGTTCAGGGATTTGTAGTTTAATGCTGCTTCAGACAAGGAAAATGTTTATTTTTTCTGTTGGTTACTTAGCCACATTCAAACTTATCCAGGCTATTAAAATGAAGACTACGTTGCGCAAGCTCAGCTTTGTCCGGCCCTGCGTCCACTCCTGCTTTATAAGCTAGCAGGCTAATCAAGACTAAATGGCTTTTTACAAGCTGAGCACTAATAAGAAGAGAGGGTAAAGCGGTTTATAGGGCACCGTGGTGGCACGTCAGGCTAAGGCTTTATAGACACAGGATGACGGCGGTGTTACTGAGCGGAGCTGGTGCAGGTCAGCGTCTTCCGAAGATCAAGGAGAAAGTTCACAAGCAAGTAAAACTCCAACCAGCCGGAGCTTATCGTGACAAATGGTTCCCCTGCGGGGGAAAGGAAATCAATGCTAGATGTAAATCTGATGCTGTGAATGGTTTTAGACTACAGGAAATGTTTTGTTCCATTATATTGATTTGGAAGAAACAACCGATTTGCAGAAATGTGATCCTCTTTTTCATCTAAAGGTGGATTCTACCTGCAAACTGCACAATTAGAACAAACTACAACCTGACTTTGTAGCTTTTAGTTCAGATGACAAACTGGTAACACTTTACAGTGCTACTACTTAGTTTATTCATGTTTAATAATGCACTATTGAATAAAGTATTAACCACTGCTTAAAATTAATGTTAATAGTAATGCATTACTAAGCAGACACCTACCCACCTGCCCTTTTGTCCTAACCTTAAGGACACTTAATAGTTAACAAAATCGGGAATGTTAATAAAGGTTAATATTGGTAATGAACCACAAATACAAAAGAATTAAGCATTGCCAAAACAGCAGCGGTACCCTTAATTTTAGCTATAAAGGATATTTTGTGGATAAAACTTAGGGAAAAAATAACAAATGAAACAATATTCATATTTTATTGAAGGGTGTTTTAATCCACACTATAGCAGAAAGACAACTCCAGAGTTTAACACTCAACCAGTGAAGGATGTTTCATGTGGTGTAGGCAGTGTTTAAATATCAACAATTAATTAATAAAACTACCTGACAATAAAGGGGTCCTTGTGACTTCAAAACGCTCCGAGGCCCTTGCTTAAATGCCTTTATTCCACTGGTACACCCAACTAGAGCAGTTCAAACATCCAACCTTGTTTTGACATACAAGCCATCCTCATGGAGTTAAACAGAGTCCAATCAATCTATCAAGTCCTATTTTTAAAGTGCCAGTGTGTAGTTTCCCGCCGCTAGACGGCAGTACATATGTACATTTCAGGGTAGCTTTACACCACGTCTTCTTGACTGTCGCTATTTTAAAAAAGCTTTACAGAAAATGTTACCTGTGTGACTCCTCAGACGTTGATGGTCCTTCAGGTAATTCCATGAGAGGATGCAATGCTGATTGTAGTTTGCAAGCGCTGTACTTTCCGGATCTGCTTGGGGGCTTGCGCCTGCCGATGGCATCGTGCTACGGCAATACAGCTCGGCCAAAATATATTGCATCTCTTTTTCAATTCTGTTTTTTCATGAATTTTTTGGAAAGATTTTAGCAGTTTTGTTATTAAATTTGTGTTTCTTTCTGCCTAAGTCTTCTTGAACATGATAACAAAACCTCTGTACGTCGTACGTCCGGCCAATCATCTAGTGACATCATCGACAGGCGCAGGACCCCAAGCCAGCCAGAACGTAACATGGCATCTCCCAAAGATGCTAGATCGCTCCCCATATACTTTAGACCCGATTATTATGGATATATGGTACAAAGCTGCTGATATTTTTCAACAACTGAACCTCTTTTTATTCATTCCAACAACGTTTTGATGGATGTTTCCTGAGATTAAAGATAAAATCTACTGATTGTCCCTTTAAAGAGATGCTCCACCAATGTGAACAGGATGTGGCTCTCAGATATTCTTATAAAAGTTGTAAGAAACAGAAGCAGACAGAAAAACAACGTTTAAATTAGACATTATATTTGGCTGTTAAAATGAAATTAAATCAGTTCTTGTTTTCTTTCCTCTCTAACTGTTAGACGATGTTTCAGATGGAGTCACATTTTTGGCCACACGCACTTAATGCTCACTTTTATTCCCTTTCTCCTCTCTGCTTGTCCTTCCTCAACCAGATCAATACCATAGATCAGCAAGCTACCCGGCTGCAAAATGACCACATCACCATTAACACACACGCACACACACACACACACACACACACTACAGTTGCATCTTTCTGAACAAATAAACGGCTGTATTAAACATCAGCTGGCTCATGTGTGGTCTCGGCTTTCTGCACTGAACTATCATCTGCCTTGTGGTCTGTACATCGTTGGTATTGATTTAGTTATGGCTGCTTCATATGCTGTTGAACAGGTTTAAATGCACATTTTCTGTTATCACGCTACACATAAGTCAGAGGCTGCTCGAAAGCAGGAGGAACTCTGAACGAAATGAAAGTGTTAGAAGAGCAAGACCTTGTGTGAAGATCTGGGCATCTGCTCTGCAAATGGAGTAAGAGACCATTCAGTGAAGGTGAGCCTGAACATGGGATGTCTTCCTCTTCTGCCCTAGGGTGACGGAGGAAGAGTCAACAGCTACCACTATGGAGGCTCTGAAGGCTCGAATCAGAGAGCTGGAGAAGCAGATACTGCGAGGAGACCGATACAAGTGTCTCATCTGTATGGTGAGTATAACTTCCTGTGAAAGTTTCTGATTAGCTGCAAATCTCAGCAAAAGTTTAATGCAGCAGAATTATTACTTTATTTTTTTTTAAAGCCTTTTAATTTGCGAATAATCTTCCGCCAATCTTAGGAGCTTTCACAGATGGAAGTATGAGCTAAATATTTTTCCTCATCTTCCAAAATCATTATAGGAAGTTGCATTTGTTTTCACATTTGTGGAAGTTTCTTGTTTTCTGCTGCGTTCTGATGCAGAATCAGTTCACTAAACAGCTTTCTGCCCACTTCACATGGATTAAGAACCCGCTTGTTCCTTCATTCTTTGTCCTTCACCACAACAGTGACAAACAGGAACGTTGGTGTTCCAACTTTATTGGTCTTAGTTTCAGACCGTGCAGAACTATCAGTTTCGAGGATCAGTGGTGAGTGTTGACAGATATCTGTATTTGTGAGACCCCTTTGAAGTAATTTTATAATAAATAAATTAGGGGGGGTTGTGGCCCCATACCTTGGTATTAAACAGAACGACCCACGCAGTCAGCATTGAGGAGATTCTGTTTATTCAAAGAAACTTTATTAATCCCAGAGGGAAATTAGAGTTTCAGTACACACAATTCTGAGATCAGGCATACATACATAGGCATAGACATATGACAAGAATTGGTGACTGTGGTTGTTCGCAACCCGAGTCGCGCTACCTTAATAGAGATCAAAGGGCTTATATATGAGGATTGAGTCAGGTGGAGGAAAAAAAGGCACTTCAGAGTTACCCTCCACAGAGACGGCAGCTTTGCTATGCAAAAAACACCTCAGACAGAAATGCAACAGACTTCAGACATTACACAACATAAGTGTCCACTAGGTGGGGAGGTAGGGTAGAGGACTCTCCACACATCAGTACATGCAGCCACGATAAGCAGCGCTCATCACCTTCGTTTGGACAGGGGAGGGAGGTAGTTGGGTTTAGAGAGCACAGTGACTCCTGGAAACGATTCAACGGCCTTCACCGGTCGCAGTCCCGCCCAGGCTGGGATAGGGAGACAGAGTTGCCATGGCGACGGCAGCATTCCACATTTCTTCTGAGGGGGAGTAATCACTTCAGCCTCACAGGCTCAAGGGCACCAGATTCACATAAGAACTTGTTTTTGGGGCCAGACAGAGATAATTTCCTCTGTCTTAAAGTTCTGTTGGTCCTCAACCCCTCTAAATCCAGTAATGGCGTAATTAATCTATCCCAGTCCATGCTGATCCGTCCACTGTCTCCTTGATCGAATCCACCTTCTGTGCCAGAGTCTGAATCTCAGCCAAAGTTCCAAGCTTACGACTCATCTCGACAATTATATGAGTTTGTGCGTTCACAGCACGGTGTAATCCATCCCTGAGCTCCGGGATTGAGCCAATATTCCTCGACAGCTCGTTCATTTTCCGGTAAGCCAGGTAACCGCTCAGACCAAACAACAAACCTGACACCAACACCACGAATATCCAGACGTCTTCAGAATCCTCTACAGACAGTTGAGTCCTCAGCCTAAGCAGTAGGTGATCCTGCAGAGACAATAATACAGACACTGGAATGGCAGCAGAAGAAGAGTTTAGAGCAACAGTCTTCATACACAAAACATTACCAAATTTTCTGCTGCAACTCAATGTGTTAAATAACATTTTTCAATTTTTCATTTTGTTACATTTAACTCCCAATGAACACTAAAACGTAAGGCCTATGAATGCACCGCATCCTGGTGCTGTACAACCCTTTGATTGTGTTTAGCAACTGTGTGCTAGAAGATCACACCACTCCTGCACAGCGCTGATGGAGAGATGTGGTTGGAGACTACCAAGCCATGGGCTCATGTCATAGATGCACTGCCAACACTCGTTTCACCCAGGACTCAATACTCCATGACAGTAATCCACCATGACCTCTACAGAGGTTTTGTGTGTGTTCAAATCCCTCGTCAGTGTGTTACGGCGTTCCTAACCTGTTTTAGGACCAGAAAGGGTCTGGGGGGGCTTTACTCTTCAAGTAAAAGCAATGCAATATATGTTATTCTGTGATCTGTAATGTGTTAAATATCTGCCCTGCTTACATTTGCATATTACAGCTAAGCTTGCTATGTTTTGAACTTTGTGTTTTTTGATTGCTGTTTGTCATGCATGGCTTTGCAAGTAAAACATGATCGTCTGCTGGAATAAACAACTATTTTGCTTCATAATTCACGGCTTCAGTCTTCCATTTGATTTCACCCAAGTTCTTCAAATGTGGAACAACAATAAATGATTAAATTTACATTTAAGGCACTAAAATGCATAACAGCAGTAGTGTGTGTTGGCCATTTACTTTATTATTATAAACAGTTTTATAATTCAAGTCAAGTGAGCTACTTCCACAACTGAAAGAACACCCTGATCAGTGTGTGTGCGTGCGTGCGTGTGTGTGTGTGAGAAGCAAGTAATTACCAATGCCTGCGCTTCCTAAAGGTCGCTTGGTGCCTGAGGTGACACGGAGGGCAAGGCACAGCGATCGATCACTCACTGCCCCATGGACTCACGGCTCTTCGCCACTCATCTGTCACCGTCTCTTATCTCTCACACACTCCAGGGCGTACGGAGGGATGTGAATATGTGTACACACTCTGGACGTCTTCCATCTAATCTGTCTGTCTTTAAGTTGCGTTAGTGTTCCTGCCCTGTCACACCGTCTGATCTGAAAGTCATCGGGTTACTCTCACTTGTTGGCAGGAAGGAGGGGTCGACTTGGTACCACAGTCTCCAATTCCAGACTGTAGGATACGCACAGCTCTGCTGTCACATAGTTTTTGTTTTACCTCTTAAATCCTAATAAAAATACTATGAAAAACAAATTATTTTAGCCTAAAATGAAGCTGATGAAAACGTTCTTGTCCCTGTGGGTGTCTGAGCTGCAGCTTTAGTGGCGTTCTACCTCCATCTGCAGGTCATTTTAGGAAAGGAATCTAGTCTTAACCAAGTTTTTAATGTTTTAAAGTATTAAGAAGTTTTTTTAATGCAAATAACTAAGTGGTCATCTTTAAAAATTTAATGGCTGCATAGCTTCTGCTGAGGGAACACCTTCACAGCTCTGTGTGTGTGTGTCCACATGCGTGTCTGTTGCACTTAAGTATTTGTGTGTGTGCGATCAGTATGGCTCTATGATTAGCTGCCACCTTTCGCACCCCTCCCTCTCCTCTCCCACCCCCAACTTCCCCTCCTTCCGCAGAGAAAGCCTGCTATCCAATCAGGCGCGGAGATCAAGAGCATAGGGCTGTGGCCGGGGTCCCGGCCACTGGCCAAAGAGGTCGGAGAGAGACACCCTAAGTCCCTCCCCCTCGGCCTGTACTGCCTGTACAGGGGCCTTGTGATTGGTGGCTACGGCGGCAGCATAAAGAGGCTCCTCCCACAGCCCCTACGGAGGGTAAGGCACTCCCTCCCTCCGTCTTCCACTCCTCTTTGTCCCCTTATCATCTCCGTTCCTCAATCATCTCTTTGTTCTTTTTAGAGAGAGAAAAAGCGCTTTGTACCACATCTCTCCCCCGTGCCTGCCTTCTTCCATCTATAGTCGTTGCCTGTCTGATATTGTGTCAGTGCGTGCGTCCCCCAGTTTGCTGCTCCCCTTTGTGCTGCCTTGCTCAGTGGTTTTTACCTTGCTGGCTGTGTGGTTCCATGGATGGTCTGGTGTTGTGGGTTGGTCAGGGTTTTAGTTGTTTAATGGTGACCAGGATGTTTAATTCCTGTAAACTTGATGTAAAAATTCCCTTTCTTTCTTTTTTGTTTCCTCTAGGACTCCTACACAATGCCACTCACCTCCATCCAGTGCTGGCACGTCCATTGTGAAGAGTGCTGGCTTAGGACTCTGGTATGCCTAAACACACACACACACACACTCACATGAGCCAACTGCACTTTTCTGCAGGGCAGCTTTTTTACAGTCTGCTGTTATTGCTCCCTCATTTCATAGTCAGTGAGTTCCTCTCTGCTCTCGTGCCCAACAGGGAGAAACTAAAATGGAATATTCCCCAAATGACCTGTTCTCTTATTGCACACACAATCCAGGCAATTCAAACACCTTTAGTCTCAGTTGGGAAAGAGCTTAGATGGAATGGTCCCCAAAAGGCTCGTTAAAATGTTGGAATAAAGTAGTCAACTCTCACCTCCCATGTTTCCCTCTTGGTGCCTCGGGCCTCTGTGCACACCTCTGTGATTTTGTTGGTTATTAGTTGGTCTAATATATTCAGTTGAGTGTAATTAGCTGGTGCTAATGTGGTAAATGGAGCGCAGAAGACAACAGGGTTCCGTAAGCTGGGAGGATAAACTGTCTCCTTATTGTCCCTTTTCCTTATTTTGTCTTTATTATCTCCTCAATAATTTGTCCTACAAAGAGCAGTTCCAGTATTAGACCAGTGCTGGTGCAAGAGCTGGTTCTTAGTGGGTTCTTTATACACGGCTAAGAACTGGGTTGGTTTTCCTACTCCGAGCCTGTTCCACAGGGCCGTACAGTACAACTTATATGTTGCACGTGCAATGAAAAATAATATTCTGCAGTTAAAACAAAGTTTTGCTAAGAGAACTCATGCAATATCTTCATGGGCCTCCTTTTTTTTCCAAAATTAGCCTAATTTAGAACAAGGTTCTGTACATGTTGAGTTGTGTATGTTGATGATTACAACCAACTCTAGGGGCATGTGTCATGTGTTTCAGCACTAATTGTCGTTTATTCTCAGGACCTTTTAAATCACTTGAAAGTAAAAGTTTAAATGCGTCCAACACCAATTTCCACAATTTCTGTGTGCTTGCTTCCTGTCTGTTACCAGTCTGTCTGCTGAACTTCCACACTGGGTGATGTTTTGAAAGCAGAGTCTTCACCCAAGCCTTGCCTTTCTTATCTGAAGAGTGTTCTAAATGTTTTATCACTGTAACTGCAATAAAAAGAAAAAGAAACAATACACGACTAACTAATACACACATCTTAGCATGACGCTAAGGGAGAAGGAGATTCAGCTGCTGTTGGAGACCAAATAAAAATGGCACTTTTGCTGTTACTAACTGAAATTCAGGTAGCTGTCATTTTGCACAGAAATTTTTTTAGATTTAAGCATGGTAGAAATGTGGTGCTAGCAAGCTAAAATAATTTTGTTGTAATCTTTTTATGAGAAAGGGACACAGCATATATTGGTATCTGTGGGGTAAGCCATTATTTTTAAAATGATTATTCGGGAAATGTTTTTTTCAAATAGTCGACTATTCCAATGACTAATTAAACGTTTAATCAAATGATTTTATTTTTTCTGTTACCCAATTAATAAAAACCAAAAAAAAAAAAAACTCAAATAAATACTCCAAAAAATTAAACTGGTACTGTAAAAGAATAAACACTACAGGTCTTATTTTATTTTGAAGTGGTGGGTTGTGTTCAGGTGACATGTAGAGCTTGGGAGTGTAGGCTGCTGAGCTGATTTAACTGTGCGGAGAAACAGCAAATGCTGTTTTAAACAAGCAGCTGAAACTGATTAGTGGGGTTAATTGGCAGTTAAAGTTATTTTTAAAGATGGTTTTGGGAAACTAACTTTCTGTACCAGTTCAGAGTATCTCCTAAGATTACAATTATTGTGTGTCCTACCATCTTTATGCAGATGACATCCAACTGTACATCTCCTTTAAGCCCCATGAGATGTCTAAGCTGCAGCTGTTACACACCTGCTTAGACTCTATCAAAACCTGGATGGCTGGGAGCTTTCTACAGCTGAATGAAGATAAGACTGAGATCCTCATCTGTGCCCTAGACAAGCTGGTTCCCAAAGTCAGAGACTCTCTCGGTCAGCTTGCTTCCCACACCAAACCTTCTGTCAGGAATCTTGGCGTGACCTTTGACCCAGCTCTCACCCTGGATTCTCATGCCAGTTCTCTTGTTCGCTCTTCCTTCTTCCATCTCAGGAACGTTGCTAAGCTAAGTCCCATTCTGTCTCGCTCTGAACTTGAGACAGTTCTCCACACCTTCATCTCCTCACGCTTAGACTACTGTAACTCTCTTTTCACGTGTCTGAGCAGAACCTCCCTGAACCGTCTACAGGTGGTTCAGAACGCCTGTGCTCGGCTTCTGACCAAGTCCTCCAAACACACCCACATCACCCCGCTTCTCCTCCAGCTTCACTGGCTGCCATTCAACTTCAGGGTTCATTTCAAGATCCTGGTTCTGGTCTATAGGGCCTTACATGGACAAGCACCATCTTACATTGGTGATCTTCTTAGTCCCTACACCCCCAGCAGGTCCCTGAGGTCCAGTGATCAAAGCCTACTGGTTGTGCAGCACCAGGCTAAAGACCAAAGGTGACAGATCATCTGCTGCTGTGGCCCCCAGACACTGGAACTCTCTCCTCCTGAGCCTGAGATCAGTGGACTCAGTGGTCTCCTTTATAAAGCAGCTGAAGACTCACTTGTTCAGGCTTGCCTTCGTCACCACCCTCTCCTTATTCTGTTCTTATTCAGCCTTTCCTGGGATCCACTGATTTCCCTCTTTTCTATTCATTTTCCTTTTCACTTTCCTTACATTATTTGAATCACAATTTTTATGTATTTTTTCTCATTTTAAACATATTTTTAATCAAGTTTTTTATATAATTTTTTGTTGTTGTGAAACACCTCATGATTTTCATCTTGAGATAAAAGATTGTTTTCTTCTTTCTTTCTTTCTTTCTTTCTTTCTTTCTTTCTTTCTTTTCTTTCTTTCTTTGTAGGCCTCTCCTGTCAGTAAATTTGACTCACATATTCTCCAAAAGCTGTTCAGTTCGGATGATCTGCAGCAGTTTGCATGTTTCTAGTTACGAAAAGTGAGACATAAAAATAACAGTAGATATAGCGTCTTAGATGCGTGGACCCAAAGATTCTAGACTCTTATTGGACACTGGTTTTTGTTAATAATTAGTTTAACCAGTTTAAGACCAGTGCTCATTCATGAGAAGCTGCTTTAAAGAATTAAAAAAAAAAACATCTGTGAATATTTTGTGATTTTCTTAAACTGTAATTCAGCGTTTAAGAGAAAGTGTTCCTGTTACCAATCTGCTGTGTACCAGTGTTTTGATATGTGTTCCCATATTAATGCTAACTACTGTTCTGATGTATGCCGCATTAAACACGTAGCCTGGAGGAAGCTGTAAAAATGAGAGGACTAAGCTGATCAAAGTAAATTCAGAGGAATCTAGTTAAGTCTAAGCTCCAGCTTCACCCTACTGTAATGAGTGAGTCAACCAGAGCCCATCATGTCAGACACACACCCAAAAACACTGACTACACTATGCCGCAGAAGTAAACACTGAAACGGAAAATCCGTTGGTAATCTGTGAAAAGGTGTAGTTATCTCAAGCATAACCCAGTGTTGGAATGATTTAGGAGTTCACGCAGCCTTGTGGTGGATTAAAATGTCATCACAGAGCCCACCTTGTGACCTCTGGTTTTACAATTGCAGCATGTTTGCATGAAACCAGACTCGAAATTAGCGATCATGACCACAAGATGGTCTAATTAAAAATGTATAGGTCTCTTCAAGGAACTCGGCAGTGAACATAGTAATTCATCATTTTAATGTATAGCCAAACAATAAATTTGCCTTTTATTTTCTCCAGGATCATAGAGTCGTAGAATCAGACTGCAGCGCACATGAAGTGTGTTTGTTAGTGTTAGGAGTTAATAAGAGAGCCATACCACTAAAAAGCAGGAATGGCAGCAGAAGAAGAGTGAGACACCTCTGGTTTATTCCCTCAAGTAAAAAATGCCTTTATCTTCTGTTTACATCAAAAATATTATTAATGTACAAACATAGAAGAAAAGAAAAAAGGAAATGTGGGTACACATCACCCCGTTTTCAGCTACATATCCAGTGCATTGTGAAGCACATTCACATGCATGCCTAGCCTGTAGGTGGCAGTAGTTCTCCAAACTGTCAGCTTTTTTGCCAAAAACATTCCAGGCAATAATTGTCCTTAGCATCATAGATAGAGGCATACATAGAGCAGTAATTGAGCTTGTAAAAACAAGTGAGTGTAAACACAGATCACACATGTGATGTCAGAGCATTGTTATCATGGGCAGATGCATGTTGTAGTGCCTGGTTATTTACGTCTTCAAGCAAATGCTGACAACAAAGAACTTGTGGATTTTTAAAAGCATCAGTTTTTGTGTATATCTGCACATTCATGTGGATGACAGGGTTAGGGTTACCCTAACCGTAGAGAAAGATCTTTTTTTCTGGGATACCCAGGTGTGTATAGGGTCTTAATGAGAATAAAGCTTATTGTTTCATGGAATGTTTTTAACTCTAGATGTACAATTTTGCATTTTATGTTATTTTTAATAACTAGTTCAGTCTTTAGACTGGAAGGAGGCTGGTAGGCGGACGAGGAGGATGGGGGACAATGGTCCAGACCACCCAGTGTAAAGCTTGTAATGCTGACATCCCTCTTTAGCACATTATCACCTGCTGCTTTACTGCAGATGGCACGCTATCAAGGCAGCATGGAAAGAGAACTGGGGCTGTAAACAGGCAGCTTATAGCCGACGTTGTAGGAGGACCTATTTGGTACCTGTGCTGGTAAACTTTGTTGGAACAAAACACATAAATTAGCTTTTTAAATGACTCCTTTTGGTTTATTTTGTCTTTTATACCAACAAATGTTCTCATTCTGAACACATTTACATGGTAATGTGGCCAAGTTTCTCTGGTCATCACTAAAAATTCTTCTAAAGTTTAGTTTTGAAGGTCAACTCCACTGGAAACCCATTTTTTAATGGTTATTTCTGATTATATGCAGTTTCTCTGAGTTATTTATGTGGAATAAACATGAATATAGTCTCCTACACCTATCTCCTGCATTATGTTCTGATTGAAAACAGATGGTGAAACTCTAGGATTTAAAAGGTCTGACAGATCTGTGTCACACCGTCACTTAACATTCATGAACTCATCCATCTCGACTCATAATGGGGAAGGTTGTTGTTGGTTTAGCGTCCAGGAAACGGCAGAGAATGCCTCAGCTGTTAGACGCTAACCGTTAGCATTAGCGACTCCACCACACAGCAGAACTCCTCCGGGCCTGTGTTTTTTATAGAGATAAAGCATCAATGTTGCAATGCAAATAGACAGTGGTAGAGCCATGTTGCTGTTAGCCAATAAGAGGTGAGATGTCCAAATATTAGGAATAAGACTCCAGATCCTGTCGCCTGAAGCTCAGCTCTGATGTGACTCACTTCTAGTTCCTAAAAATGGTGCACCAGTGCGTTGTTTCCCCAGAATACTATTTACAAGGCATTTGTTCGTACTAGAGACCACTGCAAAAATGTGTTAAATATGATAAAAGTAGATTTTTCCCTTTTTCTATGGTTTTCCACAGGGGAACAAGAAGCTGTGCCCGCAGTGCAACACCATCACTTCGCCCGGAGACCTGAGGCGCGTCTACTTGTAAAGAGCACAACATCTTCCATCTGCAGTCCATTCCTCCTTCGTGGATTTCATCTTTTCCCTGTTTTCATCTGTTTTTTTCTCTCTTTCTCATGGACTGGGTCAGTAGCTCCAAAGCCTCCGAGAGCATCCAGAGACAACGCGGCTGTCTTTCAGAAGCTGCTGACGCTTTAAAGGAGGCCGAGGCTCGCTGGACTTGAAATGACTCACTGACTCATGCTGGCTGCCCGGTCATGCACTCACACCAAAAAACAAGGAAATTGTCCCTGATGTTGACACTTTGATCCACCAGGATATTGATGGAGACCCCGAATCTCAGCATAGTCTCGGCTGATGCCCAGACTCATGCTGCAGGAGGCGGACCCAAAAGGAACTTCTTACTGCGAATTGGATTTATTTTGTCCTCCTCCTTCAACTTTTCATGGATGCTCGGCAGACAGCAACACAGCGACAAAAGAAGGCTTCTTTAGTTCTTTTTCCTGTTGCAGAGGGAAAACCTTGTCCAGCAGGAGCTTTTGCTCAAGGGTATTTAACATAAAAACGAGGCCGGTCCACTAAAATTGAGCGTTTGACCAAACTGAGAATAACCTCAAAACATTTGAGGAGAATTTTGAAACCCTGTCCTCCTTTCTCCCCCTACTTTTGTGGTGTTCTAGTGAAGTAAACCAAAATTTCTCCCCTTCTTAAAATGCAGTGCAAGCACATGTAATATAGTTCTATGTGTGTTTACAATGTTGGGTGTAAATGACATAGAGTTCACACACACACACACGTACATGCAAACACTATCATCAGAAAACATGACCTAAGTATACATTAACATCATTTTTAAGTCGAAAGTTCATTTGGGGGAAAAATGGCTGACATAAAAAAAATGTATTTTTTGAAAGAGAAAGAAAAAGTCCTTTTGAAGATCTGTTGAAGTTTTATTTGACTGTACAGGAATAAAAGAAAATGCTACTCAAGATTAGATGTTTAAGGTTTAGATGGTGTCATTTTGCTGCAGGGTGTCCTGAAGGTGAAACAAAAGGACAGACGTTAGTTTTATCCAACAGGAAGCTTGGTGTTGCCCAAGATGTCCCGAACCTTGAGCAGAACAGCATGAATTTTCTTTAGTTCAAACATCCAGCTGAGCTCCTGCTTCCTCTGTTGGAGTAACAACACGCTCGGATCATAGTCTGAAGACTGTTCTTTTACCCTCACACGTCTGGGGATCTTTCTTTTCCTGGTATTCTCACACTGCTGTGCTGCAAAATGGTCCCCAAAGGCATTTCCAAAGGGCAGGTTCTTTCAGAGCTAAAGAAGACGAGTGAAGGATGCCCAAGGCTGAACTGGCAATCTCAACCCCCCCGCGGCGTTTGCCCCCTTCCCTTTTAGCGCAGCAGCATCAGCAGCCAAGGTGGTGGTGTGCTTTGTGTTTGTAAAACTATGTAATCTGTGATGTCTGTAATGTTGTAAGAAATATTGAGGAAAAAAAAGAAAAAATAAAACTTCTCAAATATCACGAGTGGTCCCGTTCACGCAAACGATGACACAGTGAAGAAAAAGGTACAGCCTATGCTGAAAGAAGGTGGTAACGATGGCCTTATTTATGCAGAAACTTTTTGTTAATGTACATTTAAATTAATTTCCCATGTCATTTTGGTGTCTAGGATTCACTCGCTCAACTCCAAACTGGCATTCAATAACTTAGTTTTAAAGCTTTGCAGCTTTATCTGAAATCCAGCGAAACTCAAAGGCCAATTTCTGAGGCTTCAAAAGCTTTAGTGGATCAGCTCTGGTTAGCGTTGGTTAGGACTCCCTTCATTCGGTAGAATAAAAACAATATGAAGCAAAGCTGTCACTAAATTCTTCCCCAGTCCAGGTGCACTGGAATCTGCTCGGAATAATAAAAAACTGCAGAAGAGATTTGTGTCGATCCTACTTTCTGTATTGTACATTTATGAATAATGGTACATGTCTTTGCCATTTGTAAAGTATAATTGACATGAATTAAATAATTGTAAATCTCTGTTTCTTCCCATTGCTTTTCTTGATCTAGAGCTGTTAATTTGGTGTTCCATTTGGTGTGCCCCCACCCCCCTTTCTCCAAAGTCAAGTTTTGACCCCTGCACTTTTTACCATCCAAAAACATTATTACGCTACACTGGTTGAGCTCTAGGACCAAGCTGTTTCCAAGGTGTCCATGAGGCTGGAGAAATTCATGGCAAAGAGATCGGAGGGATCATCAACGTGGATGTTAAAATCACCAACAATCAACAGTCTGGACAGCTTCACAGTGGAGGATAGAAAGTCACTAAACTCCTGAAGGAAAGAACTGTTTGGACCAGGTGGACGATAGACCACAGCACAGTAGAACGGGTCCTTACGCCCGACTGTAATCATCTGCAGTTCAAAGGAAGCAAAGTGACCAGAGGTTGTAGAGCTACATGGAAGATGGTCTCTGAAAACAACAGCTAGGCCTCCAACACGACCAGAACCCCGGGGCTGGCTAAGAAAAGAATAACCACTCGGGCAGAGTTCAATTAGAGCAGAATAATCAGATGTTTGCTGCCAAACTTCAGTCAGAAACAGAAAATCCAGGTTTTTAGATAGAATGAGATCATTGAGCAGGAAGGACTTATTGTTAACAGAGCCGGTGTTTAATAGAGCCATGCTGAGTGAAGTGGAGGAATCAGAAACTACAGAAACAGCTGGAGTTGGTGGATGTAAATTAGCAGGGTTAGATCCACGGTGTTTATAAAAAACACTTATGGAGGGAACAGGAGGAGAAACCACTGAGGAATGAGGATAAACCGACCTTAAAAAACATGTACGGATGAATCGCGTCCCAACGCGGCCTGGTGGGAATGCGGAAGTGGCGCTCGGTCAAAGGACAAGAAGCTAGAAGATCGTGCCAATGTTTACTAGATAAACCACGCTTGAAGAGACGTCTTATTCTCACCTGGATTCCTGCTCGTTTACCTCTTTTCCTCCGGCGTTTTCCTGGGACCGGACAAACATAGCCAGAGGCAGGCAGCTCGGGACCGTCGATTGGTTCCGGGCCAGCACGCCACTCAGGTAAACAAGCAGGATGGTAAATCCTCGGTGCATCTTGGGCGATCGTGAACGAACGGAAGGACAAAAGAGTCTGGCGATCATAGGAGATGGTAGCAGGGACACTACTGAAGAGGATCGCAGACAGGAGCAAGGTGGAAAAGAGGTTAGTGGAGAAAAGTTTGAAAAAGTGGCCGGTGACTGTGGCTAAGCCAAGCACAGGCGCCATCTTGTTGCCGATCGGAAGCAGATCTATCTCAAGTAAGTAAAAGTTAAATCTGCACGCTTTGCAGTCCGGTTATAATGAGACAGTTTATATTTTAGACAATTTTGGTTATACTGTAGGTCTGACAGACCTACACACACACACACACACACACACACACACGCACACCCACATAGAACAGAGATGAAGACAAGGCCGATCCTTGGTATATGCCACATTGTAATGGAGACTTGTCCAATTGGGTGGTATATAAGATGGGAAACTTTATTCTTCATTTTGTAATTAAATCAAATTGCTCTAACATTTATGCCCTGACAGGTTTTCTCTCAGTAAATATAAATTATTTAAACAGATAAAGTGCAAAATAAGCAGGACACTACTGCCATCTAGAGGAATTCAGGATATGGTTCTGTTTGGTCACATGAAAGTCAGCTGCACCAGGCTGCGCTGCTGTAAGTGCTGCCAGATGCTAAACAGCAAATGGAGGAGAAAAGAGCACAGCAGCGAGGCCACCTTCATAAACAGAAGTGTTGCTATTGATTTGGTAACCACTGACTTGTGATTCTTATCATTTGAAATGTGTTAATTTTTAACAGTATATGCACAAATAAGACTGCAGTTATGATCAAAAATTGTTTCAGTTTAACCCTCTGGAGGCAGGCGTTGCAGATTTGCAACAGTTAAAACCTACCTACCTGTTACTCCACATACGTATTTCATGAGCATTTTTTAACTCAGAAGTACCCCTGAAGGACTTAGATGCCTGAGAGGGTTAATATTTTGTTTGCCGGGATGTCGTATGAAGCCGAATTAGTAAAAAAGATGTTTCGAATAATAATAATAATAAAATAACACTTAGACTGAGTGTAACTAAACCATTGAACTCATGGACCCATCAAATTTAATAAATAAAGCATTTTTGTGCAGGTTTTTATACATTTTGTCTGAAACACCGTGCATGGATTTAGCTGCTCAAATGCTATTTACAGCAGTTCATTTAGCTGCAGAAAATCCAAATCACAATAATATTCTATGAACTCATCAGCAGAATTATAATTTAGTCTGGTGTAACTACAAAATACTGGTATGTGTTTTTTGACTGCCTATATCAGCCATTGAAGTTTTATGACTCCTGCTGATCACAGATCTGCAGGAATGTCTTTTAGAGGTCACACACACACACACACACACACACACACACACACACACACACACACACACACACACAAACACACACACACACACACACACACACACACACACACACACACACACACACACACAGTGTGGAGCAGTCTATATCGACATTTTACAAACACATACTCATACAGATGAATCGATAATAGTACATTCACTGTCCCAGCCAGGACCTTCTGGACATGTAAACATGATAAGTGGGAAAGTCACTTATGTGCACGTACCCACTCTCTCTCTCTCTCTCTCTCTCTCTCTCTCTCTCTCTCTCTCTCTCTCTCTCTCTCTCTCTCTCTCTCTCTCTCTCTCTCTCTCTCTCTCTCTCTCTCTCTCTCTCTCTCTCTCTCTCTCTCTCTCTCTCTCTCTCTCCAACACAAACGACATATTTATTTAATGATGGAGATAGAATAAATGAAGGGATAAAGGGACTGCATGGATCTTTTTGTATGTTTGTCTATTTGGATGCATGAGGGTGGATGTGTGTTAAAATGTGTGAGCTATAACAGAGACACATGGGCTCGTTCTCTTGTGGCCCATTTCCTGCTGGAGTCACGCTGACTGTTACGAGAGAGCAAAATAGATGTTGGTCGTAATAAAATGAACACAGTCATCTTTATTTTTGCATTTCTTACATGATAAATGTTCTCACACAACTCAGAATATTTACTTTTAATTCATATTTGTAGAACCTGTGAGACCAGTTATGGAAAAGTTCATAATGGGTTATTTTGCAATTCTAACAGGATAATGTAAAATGTTTAATTGTGTACTCAGAGTAAATTAAATTTGGTTTCCAATTCTGTTAAATGAAAAATCTGTATTATCATATTTATGATATTAAATACTGATGTCAGACTTTTTAAGATTCATAAGTTGTTTTCATTTCTTAACCATTTACCTTCTGCCCCAAAGAAAATGTAACTTTTTGCATATTTTTTAAAATTATTTTAAGAGTTACTATAACAATGTCATAACTGTAATAATGTTATTTATTTTTTACTCCAATATTCTCTGCTTAAAAAAATAAGCAAACATTTTTTATTATTGTTTACTGATTGTTTTTCCTCTTGTTCAAATTCAGATTATTGTGATAATGGACAAAAAATTATTTTACCAAGCATTAGATGTTAACAGATTTCAAGATTATTTTGATTAAGGATTTGACTTAAATAAAAGATCAAGAAAGAAAAAAATCTTACCATTTGAAACGTTTAAAAGTTTATTTGTCATAGTTTAATTTTTGAAATAAAGATTTTTATTTATTAATTTATGGGTTTTTTTCAACATCACATTTGTCAAAAATAAAGGTCGCATTGTTTGAATAAAACTAATTTTCAGATATTTTTATTTTCAAGCTTGTTTTAGGATCTTAGCTTAAATGGACGGAATTTTATGATGTGGCGCTTTATTTTAATTTTGTTGCTCCGGTTTGCGCAATTATGTCCACTAGAGAGCGGTGTTGCAACACCTCTCTCTCTCTCTCTCTCTCTGCCTCACAGCACCGACGAAGAAGAAGAAGAAATTAAAAACCAAAGAAGAAGAGCATCGTATTTAGACATGAATGAACGCGTTTATTTAATAACGTCTGAATCTTTCTTTGAGTCGTCTTCTTACTCTTCTGAGGGGACAACGTCTTAAAAAAAGCATTTTATGTTCAGAAATGGAGAAAAGCTTCCGCCAGTGGAAGAAACAGTGTCTGAATAAACTGGACCAGAGTAAGAAAGGCAGCGTAGACAGAGACATCGAGCATGTCGTGTCTCTGCTGAACAGCCGTGAGGAGTTTTTCACCACCAGCTCCTGCTCCGGCAGAACCATCCTCATTGACGGGGTGAGACTCTTCTGCTATCTTCTTCACGAGCAGCCACTTGTTTCTTTAGATGTTGCTGTAGCCCTGCCCCCACAATCTTTATTCCTCTTCTGGACCACTCTGAACCGTAATGATGGTTGTGGGTGGAGATCCCTGTAGATCCGAATGTTCTGAAACCTTCTCCATTGCTTCTAGAAGTCCACGTCACGTGCATCAATTTGCTGCCACGTGATTTATGTTATTGTAAGGAAGAGTCAAAGTGCAGCTTCCTGGTCTGAGCTTATAGATGCAGTATTTTTATTTATGCTAATAAAATTCACATTCAGGCAAAACAAAGAGCCTAAAACAGGAAGTTCTGACTTGGATCGTGTATGAGAACGTTGCATCTCTTCCACTTTAGGCTCCAGACAGCAGTGATATCCAGAAACAAAACTGTGCCTGGCTGTTTGTCTCACACCACAAGTGCACCCTTGACGACCTGGTGAGATGGTGGTCACTTTTATTATTCTCATTAATAATCTTTGTTGTTCTTCATGACGTGTGTGGGTGTGTTCCAGATGTCTGGACTGAGAAGGGCCAATGGAGATGCTGTGCTGAAGTTTGAGCCTGCCGTGCTGCATGTTCAGTGCAGGAGACTGGAAGATGCACAGCTGCTGGTGGGTGGGGCACTGAGCCAAACTGTCTCTTTCGAACTTTAATGAAAAATACAGCCACATGACCGACATCTTTCCTTGTTACTTGTTATCACACACTGTTCTGATTACGTGGACTTTGCATGCTGAATCTGGGCGCTGCTGGAATGGAATTTAAAGTGGAACGTGTCGCTAATATCGGAGATTTTAACCCGATAGTGTTTTTGGGCCGATGTCCGATATCAGTATTGGAACGGGACATCCCTACTATCCAGATTTATCCTTTTTGTTTAGGCTGTTGAAGACTCTTGAGGTGGAAAACAATTAAATTATTCAAAAAGAGCTTTTAGTGTGTTATATAATTATTTTTATTGTGTTTTTTCTTCTGCAGCACTCAGTGGCTGTCAACTCAGGCTTCAGGAACTCTGGACTCACTGTTGGAAAGATGGGAAAGATCATCTCGGTATGCTGTGAAATAATCTGGAATGATTCTTTCTAGGGATGCACCGATATGAAAATTTTGGGCCGATACCGATTTCCGATATTAAGATCACCGTTATGGCCGATAACCTATATTTGCCAATACCGATATACTGACATTAATGCATTGTGGTTTGTAAAGTTTCATCTGAAAGAGACTTCTGGAGACAAAAGTAGAAGTGTTTACCCATAATGCTGAGCGCCGTGTCAGCACAAACAACTCCTGTCAGCTGTTAGCACGGCATTGGTGGGCTGATGATTTGGGCTCCTGCGGTAATTGAGTCTACCTTAAACTGCCCTGTTGACCAACGTGTTGTAGAGTCAAATGTAAAGCTAACAGCTGATGCTTGGACCAAACTTGGTCATTAAATAGAAGAATGATCCAAACCACTCCAGCCAATCTTCAACAGAAATGTCTGAAAAGACCAAAAATTGTGTCCTTTCTCGTCATTTGGGCCTCTAGGCTGTCCGTAGCACCCACGGTCTGGAGGTTCCTCTAACGCACAACGGGAAGCTTCTCGTTGATCATCAGTACATCCACTTTTTAACACAAACAGCCAATCAGAAGATGGAGGAGAACCTTAAACGTATCCACAGGTCAGTCTGAGCCGAGAATCCTGTTGATATTTACCCAAAAAGTTTCTAATGAATTTATATTAAAGTTTTAAATTGTACCTCATCCAGGTTCTACCAGAATCTCCAGTCAGCCTTGTCAGCTGAGAAACTTCCCATCTCAGATCAGCTCGGCTCACTGGAGCTGCAACATCCTCAAAAGATGCCAGAGGGGGAAAAGGAGGAGAGCAACAAGAACGTGTATACACGGAGGAGGAGGAGACTACACGAAACGGACCCTAACGATGAAGAGTGTAACGGCAGCCAGCCGGAGCTTGGTGACTGTCTCAGTTTGTTCACTTAAACGTGCCACTCTTCACACGTCATGGACTCAAAATAAGAGTTTGTTTTTAAAATAGTGCCGTGTACCAACCTGCTGAGCTGTCAGATCTGTGAAATGTAGACCTATTTGTACTAGACTGGGCTCTATTTCTTCTGCTCATTAGCCAGTAATAAAAGTTCATATCTTTCTATTTTAAAAGGAATTTTATTTGGGTGTAAAATTGTTTGGTCAATGTTTCACAGAAGTGTCAGGGCAGTGTGTGTGTGTGTGTGTGTGTGTGCGCTCGTGTGTGTGCGCGCTTAGCTTCAGGCTGCCATAGATACCAGTGAACTTGCCTGAGAGGTGTCTATAAAGGAGCAGGAAATTGCAGCAGATGACAGAAGATCCCTTTAGGGCTGGTTAGCTGTTCTTTACTCCATCAGCTGTCTCCACCCAACCTGACTTCTAGGTTTTATTATCTTTGTGCGCTAAAAGATTAACGATTACTCAGAGCATCTCCAGCTTTGTGTCAGTTAAAGTGATTTCATCAACATTTCTCCACTAAAATTTTGAACCATTAAAAGCAATAAAATAAGTTTATTGAATAAACATGAATATTTTAATGTAGATGTTCCCATTTTTTCTCTTTCATTCAAGATGATATATTTATACTGGCTTAATTTAATATGCTTGAGTTTTTACAGTTCTTCCTTTTTTAGTTGAGTTAGGATTGTTTTATAAGTGGGTCACAATATTTTTCATAAATGCTTTTTTGTTAAAGGTAAAATAAGTAAGAATGCTACAGTGAAATAATCCCAAACAGTCTAATCTATCAATCATGTGGAAAGGAAGGTTACATCAACAGATCTCCCCCTCACTCAGTTGACGGTTGTCAGATTTCCTTTTCATAAAAGCTAAAGAGGGACTTAATCACGGTTTCCAATCTTTGAGCCTGTGGGTTTTAAGAGTTGGCGCTGCAATTCCAGCTTTTGTAATTTGACACCAGCAGACAAAAAACAGCAGCGTTGTGGAAAGCACCGAAGCCAGTTAGAGGAGCAACACAGAAGTTATGTTTGGTACCCCCAAGAAGCCACGGCGTCTTTCTGTTACACCCGAATGGGCTCGACACACGGGAGGCGACAAACGACTGTGATCAACAAAACTTTTTATCAAATCAAATCAAACACAACAGTAATTAAAAATAAATAAGTAAAACAAGCAATGCAATAAATAGTTATCAGTTAGAAGCTAAACTAAAAAAGTGGGTCTTAAAAACATGAACGTTCTCTGCGACCCTGAGATCCTCCGGCAGCCCATTCCAGAGGCGAGGGCCGTGTAGCGTAGGCAAATCGATTATTTTTATTTGTTCTGACCAGGAAGATGTAATATTCTATATAAATATGAAATATTAATCTGCTAGGTCTTTATTGCAATTATCAGAAGAGTCTAGGTTTGTGTTACTTCAAGAAAGAGTCAGGTTTATAAAAGTAAGAATTTATTTAGCAAACAATTAAAACATGACTAATTAACTAAGCATTTACTGTGAGTGGATGTAACTAAACGTGATGAAGGAACCTATGTGTGAATGTGATGTCAGTCAGAGCTTCCTTATCAAAGTAAGCTGAGTTCTGGTGAAAAGAATTCGGTTTGCTCTAAGCTATAAAGTTCTTATCATCAGAAGAATATCAGATGCTATCTGTCATGTCTACTTCACCCGTTTTGGAGAGACCCTCTTGGTGGATCTGAAAGTTGCAGGGGTGGGCTGATCTCTGGCACCGGAGGGCTGTAGAATACCGTGGTACCGACTCTTCAGTCCAGAGATGTCTCAGGTCACAACAGGTGGATGGAACCGTGCGTCTGGCGGTCTCTTAAGGAGTCTAACAATATCAGCTTTGTTTCTGCAGGAACTGTTTGCTCATCAGCTTTGCAGGTGCAAAAAGGTTTTGATGACGTGTCAAAATCTTTGATGGTTAAAGAGGTTTACTACAGATAGCCGGCGTGGAGCGATTCTCTAGAACTTTAGAATCACTCAGGATGATCCAGTTTAAAGGTTTTGATGTTATGACTTGCACAGCCAATCAGAGGCTGACAAGTTTGAGAGATGTTACCAAGACAACTCAGAAACACGCCTTCTTGATACAGGATGTTCTGACTGGTTTAACACTATGTGTGTCAGGGTTTATCTTAGCTGTACTTGTTATTGTGTGAATACAGGTGTGAGGACCTCATCGTCTAAACATGTTGAACACATGGCAGGTTCTAGTAGACATAAACATAGCATAATTATTTAACACAGATTAATGAAGCATTTCATTTTACTGTAATTATTATAAGTGGTAATAAACACGTTTATTTAATGATTATCTAGATTATAAGTCATGGAAGAAGTTCATATTAATTTAAGAGAACATTCTTGAATTTAGCAATTGATTCAAGCTGGAGTTCTCTTTTGTCTCTTTATTTGTTTTATTCAAAGTGTAAATATATATACATACATATATACATACATATTGTAACTGCAGCATATAGTCTCACAATGTAATCCATATAGTTCGCTGTTGAAGTTCTATTATGTGTAGTCTAACATGTCACCTCTAGAGGGTGCTATCAGCTACCGGATGAATAGATGAGCCAACGGTAATCAGTTGCAAGCTGTACTGAGACTTGCTTGTGAGAAGTGTCAGTTGTCGTTGAAGGAGCAGCTGGAGGAAACTGTTACGTGTTTCGCTTCGGGATTAACGGCAGATAAGCATGGACTTTGGTCGGTAGATGAGCCAGAAGAAGTGGAAAAGAAGAAAATTAGTTAATTCCTTTCGGCAGCACGCAGCCAACGAGTTTTCACTGTAATTCCCCTGAAGCACGTTCGGACACAAGTGGTTTCCTCCAACTGGTGGATAAAGGTGTATGAAAGCTTCAGGGGAATTACAGTGAAAACTCGCACTGCTCATCAGCGCAGGTGGGCGGACTACTTCCGAGAAGACGGAGCTGTAAAGAGACATTTGAACCGCGGATGCGCAAGGACGTAAGAAGAGCACAGCTGTTAAGGGACATTCAAGATAAGACCAAAGGTTTGGACACGCAACGGTCAAGAGCGGTCTAAGTAAAAGGGTCAAGTCTGACAGTCAATTAAGCAAACTGTGATTGAAAGAAAGGTCTTCGTGGCAAACCTGGGTTCATTCGTGTATATTACCGGGTGTATTTAACGTTTATTGGAACTTATAAATTAAGGATTTCAGTTAAAGGGCCAGTAATTTTCTATATTGGTACATTTTATTTTGTAACCTTTATTTGTTTAAAATGTGTTAAGTATTATATTTGACAACATTTATTACTGCATTTAAATTCGTGTATATTACCGAAAGTGTATTTAACGTTTATTGGAACTTATAAACTAAGGATTTGAGTTAGAGGGACAATAATTTTCTATATTGGTACATTTTATTTTGTAACCTTTATTTGTTTAAAAGGCGTTAAATATTATATTTGACAACATTTATTACTGCATGTAAATTCGTGTATATTACCGAAAGTCTATTTAACGTTTATTGGAACTTATAAACTAAGGATTTCAGTTAAAGGGCCAATAATTTTCTATATTGGTACATTTTATTTGTAACCTTTATTTGTTTAAAAGGTGTTATATTTGACGACATTTAGTACTGCATGAGAAGTAGTTTAGTGTACTATTTGTTATGAGTTACTGCCAGATGTGACTGCAAAGGACACAATTAGTGTATAGTTCGACAGACAGGTTTTAGTTAGTTATTTAGACGTAAGATGACTGAACCAAATCAGCCCCTATTTTATTGTGAAGAAGATCAAGAAGTTGAAAGCTCAGAAGTTTCACAAGGACCTGTGGCTCGAACAAGAAAGAGCCAAAGAGTCAGGACTCTCACAGAAAAGGGAAAAGGAATGCAGGATGAAAAAATTAAAAGCCTTCGTCAGAAATTCAACTACCTTTTTGAGAAGTGGAGAGTATGTGCCAAAGCATTCAAACGATCCTTATCACAATTAGAATCCTTAACTGAAGATTTACTTAACGACATTATTGGTGATGTAACAGGACTTTCTGCAGATGTTCAGCGGGCATTCAGTGAGTTACGTCTTAACACACCTCCTGATCAGGAAACACGGCGCAAGGTGGATCTCTGTGTACAGATATCTAAGTTTATTGTATCCAAAGCTAACAGTAATGTTGAAGGAAGGCCAGAGGAAGAAGAACAAGAATGGCCAGATATGGGATCTCTATTTGAGTCAACTATCTCAAAGTCCTGTGCTTCTGAACGCTCCAGTAAATCGTCTGTAAGACACCAAGAAGCTGCTGCAGAAGTAGCTGCAAGCCAAGCTGTTCTAAGAGTGCTAGAAGAGCAAGAAATTGAACAGAAAGAAATTGAGAGGCTTGAAGCTGAAGTAAAAAGAAAAGCAGCCGAGCAAGAAGCTTTAAGTAAAAAGCTTCGTCTGGAAGGAGAAGCAGAGGAACTCAAACTGAGAATGCAAATAGAAGAAAATGAAGCAAAGTTAAAGGCTAAACAAGAAGAAGAATACGCAACTCTGCAACGGTCTCTTGATGAAAGAAAACGTAAGTTACAGCACTTAGAGAAGGTGAAAGATCTATGTGCAGCTCAAGCGAGAATGCAAGTGTATGATCAGAGCAGTGTAACGGAGGACATCATAGTGGACATGTCAAACACTAAGGATGAAGCCCTCCGACAGCCGAGTCGTGAGCTACATCAAGGGCACATTGTTACCCAAGCTACAACAAACAATGTAGACAATGTTACAGCAGAGCTTGTTAAGGCGCTAGCAGGAGCATTAAATGCTAGCAGGATACCGGTTCCAGAACCACCAATCTTTAATGGGGATCCACTAAGATACAGTGACTGGAAACTCTCATTCCACACGCTCATTGATCAGAAGAACATTCCAGAACAGGAGAAAGTATTCTATCTTCGCCGCTATGTGGGTGGACAAGTAAAGAGTGCACTGGATGGATACTTCCTGCTTGGAACTGAAACAGCTTATGTTGCTGCATGGAAGTTACTTGATGAAAGATACGGTAATCCATTCATAATTGCAAAGGCCTACAGAGATAAGCTTCAAGCTTGGCCCAAAATCTCAGCAAAAGACAGCATTCAGCTAAGAGATTTTGCAGACTTTTTACGTAGCTGCGAAACAGCCATGTTTCATATTAAGTCATTAGAGATTTTGA